AGTCTCCCCGCGCGCATCGGCCGCCCACACACACACACACACACACACACACACACACACACACACACACACACACACACACACACACACAGTCAGACACACACAGTCAGACACACACGCTGGCTCAAGGCTCAATGCCAGGGCCCTTGGTGGTTGGAGGCTTATGAAAGGGTCGGACTGACGAGAGGTTGCCAAGTGTACGGCAATAGGCGTAGCAGCCAAACTAACGAGAGTCAGAACCTCTGACACACACACACACACACACACACACACACACACACACACACACACACACACACACACACACAAAACAAGGAAAATGGACGGAGATAAGTAAATGGAAAAAAGATGGCGACCTGGGGGAAGGGTGGAGCTGCCACTGAAGACCAGCCGTGGGAAGAAGGGGCGGGAGGGGGGGTTGCACAGTGGAATTTCAACTCCAAGACTACTAATCAATATCACTAAGTGTTTGAAATAAAACCTTTTATTGACTTATTTAATCAACATGAACTTTTATATGTTTTGAAGACATTTTAAGATGCCCGTAATGCAGGTTTTCTTTTTTTTTTCTCGTCTCGTAAAAGATGAGGTACGGACAAACCAGTGAATCTATTTTCGCTCGCATTGTGTGTGTGTGTGTGTGTGTGTGTGTGTGTGTGTGTGTGTGTGTGTGCGTGTGTGCGTGTGCCCACACTGCCAGGGGGCCTTGTGAAAGCAGCCCAAGACATACTGTATATGAGCTGTGTTTTATTATGACTGGCTGAAAGGCCACTGATCTCCTGTTGTACAAGTGCGGTTCGCAGCTTAAAATAATACAAACTCAAGAAGCAGCACAAACAGAAAAATCTCGCAAAATATTTCGGCACGGCGAGGAGAAAAAAAAGAACAGGACGTGAAAAAACAAAATGAGAACAAGAAGAGACAGTTCTGCCAAATTCCTCGTCGACTTGTGCTTAGACTCGTTGCAGGGAGGACATGCCGTGGACAAGAGCAACGGGGCGCATCTTTTTATCAGTGAATGAGTCAATCATAATATTTATAAGAACTCATTTCATACGGCGCTGTAAGAGCGTGTTTACAAAGTGCTTTGACAGTACGGGAAAGCGTGAATAAAACACCGTGCAGAAACAAATGCAAGCAAGCGAACCTAAATAACAAAACATGCCTATATTGATTACAAGAAACCCAAAACATAGACGTGACATTCAAGTATGTTGGGCTGCAGCGATCAAATATTTTTAGAATCGATTACTCCATTTATTGTCCCATGGCTTAATAAAACAATCGGATAAAAATTGATATTTGCATTCCATCTTTGTGTATGTGGCCTGGTGAGTGACATGGGTGGCGGCAAATGAGGCCGAAGAGTTGGCAGTTGTGCGCTCAGGTTGGTTTCCTGTTCGCTAACGAACCATTTGCGAGTCTGGATGGTGAAATAGGGCCTTACCAAATAATCGAGTGGTTTATAAAATGATATATATATTTTTAAATTAATCTGTTATCTGGATTATAGACTACTAACTGAATGAAGGCCAAGAAAAAGACAGAAGCGTCTGGGTGCACTGCGTCGTCGTGAGGGTGTGTTGGAGGCGAAGGCGCCGCACATACGCAGGCGCGTGCGTGCCCGCGTATGTGCGCGCTCGGCTCTCTGATGCAAACTGTTGTCGTAATTGTCTCGGCGAGGCGGTGTTTATGGGTAACGACCCAGCCCACTGCACTTGCTCCCATCTCCCCATCCAGCGACTAATTACCTGACTCCCTGTGGATTTGTTTCTTCCTTCCCCCGACAACTGTTCAGGTTGTTCCGCCAAATGAGAGCGCGCTGATAAGTGCGGATACCTTGAAACGAGCCAACCTAAACAGAGCCCCGTTCGCTTGGTGCTTCGACTGCTGCCGCGCTCGCGCTAGTCGTGTGCGCGCGCGCTCGGTGGAAATGTACCACCGAGTCCCTGTGTGATTCCTGTTGGAAAGGCTTGTCAAGATGCTCTGCATGTTTAACCGTATTTTTTTTTTGATTTGATTTTTCACAGAGAGTGAAAACCATTTCCGTCCATTTTGCAGCATGAACGGTAACGTTGACAATGAAGCATTCTGTCATTCTTTTTGGCTTTCAGAGGAAGTTTGTCCTCACATCTGTTCTCGAAATTAAACATGCCTTCATTCTTCTCCGGAGCCAAATTTAATCAGCGCTGTTCAGAAATGTCACCCCTAACCTTTGTTTTTTTTTTGTTTTTTTTTTCCTTCTGTCTCTCAGGTGCTTCCTTTATGGGTTCCTTCCTGTCCAGCAGTTTGGGGTCGCCGCCTTCCCACCCGGCTCACCCCTCAGGACCAGTTTCCTCCCCATCCTCTCCCTCGTACCGGACCGGACCCCATTCGAACGCCTCCCCTATCTGGTTCCCTCACTCACATGAAGGTAACCGCTCACACGCGCGCGACTGCACGCGCGGAACATTTGGTGTCTGGTTAATCCCGGGTTTGGGTTTTGGGATTAGACTGCGATGAGGCCATTAAGTGGTTTAACCAACAGCGAGGCCAAACACATGAAGATGTGATGCCTCAGATCACGCTGCTTACAACACACACACACACACACACACACACACACACACACACGGCGCGCGCACACACACACACATGCTGAACTCATTCTGGCGCGAGAAGCATGTGGCTTTGTGTTTAGCGCTGGCTTTGGCGGAGTTTCTGTACCCTGACACCCCCTTAAATAAAAAATGGCTTCTAATATCTCCTTGAACATGCACACTAAAAAGTCATCAGTAAATATCTCTTTTCAGTGCCCCCCCCCCCACACCCAAGTTTTTTTTTTTGCATTGACTCTCTGTCACTCATCATCCTTCGCCCCCTGACCCACTTTGAAGGTTTTATGAGGTCGTACACCCTCGTTACGCACACGCGTATACAATTTCCATCGCTGCAGAGGAAATTACATTGACTTACATTCATTTCCTGGGGAACGGCATTTAACCGCAAACCGAGACTCGACCCTAAAACATAATGATATACTTTATGGCGGGCTTAATTTTCATTCCCAAAGACAGGTGCGTCCTCGCTGGTCCGTAGCACCTGCGCAAACTATCCGATTCGAGAGACGGATCGGAAATAAAAGATGATTACGGACAGTATTTCTTCACATGAACCCGTTCCGGCGCCCTGTAACCCGATAACGTGATCGGCTGTCCGCTGTAGTAACCGCTGTCCCCGTCAGGGTTAATTTAACGTGATTTTTGATTTGATGGTGCGCTGGTGACGTATGGAAAGTCATTTGAGCGTTCATTCGGTAGCTTAAGGTCCATGTCCTAATTTTAAATGTAAAAAAAGGTGAGTGAATATGAGTCATTGACCATCCAAAATAATTCTCGTTTAATTTGATAATTGATTAGCGGGCCATTATTATATTACACATGCGCTAAACCTAAGAGCATGCGGTGTACCTAATGAAGGGTCCAGTGGGGGCCGTACGTCTCGACCCATAGCCCCGCCGCCAAAGTCAAAAACCTCATAGACGGAAACCTTACCCCTATTTCCAGCAGCCCCTCCACCCCTGTCCAGAGGCCCCACCTTCAGGGCCCCCCTGTGGGCTAACCGCCCTCCAACGGCCCCCTTCCTGATCAGAAAGATCTACGCGCGCAGTGTCGTCTTTTGACAGTTAACCGTTTGTGGTCAAACATCGAGTTTGACGTAGTTATCTGTACTTCTCAGTGTGCGTGTTTGTTGGGTTGGTGTGTTCTGCACGAGAGCCTGACTGAATTTCTTCAAAAGTTACAGTTCAAGCGGGATTCTGCCCAATATGTGTAAAAGGTTTAAAAGAACTCAAGGCATGACAGCTCTTGTTGCCGTGGATTCAAATAGAACCCAGTCAGCTATCGACGAGTTTGTTTTCTTGATAATCAATATAGCATTGATGCATGACATCAATTTGCTAACTGATGGTGCTGAAAATGAGCCGCGTGCTCGATCTTGACTTCGGACACTTTGGCGGCTGTTTTGAAGATACCGTGGCACCTTTAAATAACGCAGCACTTGGCTCTGTCCCTTTTGGACCCGGCGCTGGGTTAGCAATTTCATCCGATATGGTGTCCTTTTCACCGAGCGGTTTTAAGAAGCGATACGCAGCCCCTAAAAGTGGCCACATGATATAGTCCTGCACGAACAAACTCAATTGAATTCCGACAGTAAACCCCGACTAATTGAGACCTTTTCAACCGAATGGCTCATGACAAGAAACAGCATGTCTGATTCTTCAAGAGGGAGGAGAGGGAGTCACATCGCAGTATGCGAGTGCGCTTCTATTCTTTGGCGCCTTTCGGAACGTTTTGACAAATTTGCGTAAGGCTGTTGGACCGCAGAAATTTGATTCAGCGTTGCAGTTCCGAAACGCGACAACCGGCTCATTTGTAGCTCATCTGGCAATAAATAGCAACATTTAAGCCCTGGAAATGAGCACTAATGTCTCCTGGAGGGGCTGTCTTATAAATCAGCTTCATAGAAAGAAGAGGCGGCGGGATGGCAAAGGGAGCAGAGAGCAGCGGCAGTCAATGGAGAGCACGGGTGTGTGTGTTTGTGTGTGCGCGCGCATCTGTGTGTGTGTGTGTGTGTGTGTGTGTGTGTGGCTATCAGACAGATTTTGTGTCTGCAGTGGCTCAGCTTTTGATCTTCCGAACACGTGTGTGTGCGCGCACGCTCACGGTTCGAGAGCGCGCCGGCACACTACAAATGATTGTTTTTAAGAATTCAAGCCAGGGAGCTCCGCCGGGCGCGCTGCCAGCTGGCCGGTGTCCAGAGAGTGGAGTGTGGAGCCAGCACAAAGAGGAGAGACCTGGCCGATGCGCACGCACGCACGCACACACTCACACACACACACACACACACACACACACCTGTCCTTGTTTCGCGGGTCCCCTCCTCACTTTCTTGGCCGCTCTCCTCTCATCTCTTCCATCTCAAAGCTCTCCACTTCCCTTTCACTCCTCCCTTCATCTTCCAGCGCAAACAACGCACACGCATTTGCCTCCCCCCGTACGCCTAACGGCAGCAACATCGCATTACGGGCTTTTCATATTGACAGGCCCTCTTCTTTTGGTGTCTCTTTTACTCGCACTCCCGCTTTGTCATTTATTCAAGCGCTAACCCTTCGTCCTTTTGGTCCCCCACTTTGCTTTTTTTTTTCTCCCCCCCTCTCTTCTCAACGGTCTTTGTTCCTCTCTTCTTCCCACCCTCCTGAATTTTATCACTTGTCATTACTCGGGGGATTGGCTTTAGATGGCTGATAGAGCCTTTTGGCTAATTGTTGCCATTTAGATTCACTGGTTGTTAACCATTCAGAGTAATCACGCACACACACACACGCACACACACACACACGTGCGGCGTGCACGGTGGTGCATTTACATGGCCGCATGAACAAGCACCCCTCCGCAACCCTGCCACCCCACCAAACACAGACACACATGCCGGAGCAGAAAAGGGGGCGTCGGCGGTTTTTGCAGCGTGACTGTGGAATGCGTAGGATGAGTTTTTATGGAGTGCTGTTTACTTTGGCCGCCGCCATTAAACTTTTAACGGCTGCCAATTAACGGGCCAGCAAGGACACTCTGCGGGGCATGAAACCAGCTGCCGAAGAACAGAGCACGCACACAAACGCAAGCCGAGCCTTTTGGTCGCCTCTCGTGGAGATGGCTTGCCTCTTGCGCAGCGCGCGATGGCTGTGATTTCTTTGCCGGTTTCATCTCGGCATGCAACGCGGCCCAGTTCCGCACCACCACCACCACCGAGACCTCCGCAGTTCGACGTCCTTGAAGACAGGGAACAGAGTGGAACGACCATTTACCTCCCAGCGACCTCCTGGGAGGGTTGCGTGTGTGCGTGCGCTCACTGTGATGCTTCATACGATTTGTCTTGGGTCGGGGGCGGAAAGCAAATTCCATCCGGTTGAACGCTGCAAATGTTTGGCAGTAGCTGCTTGCTGTGGTTTTTGTCACCACTTTGTCCACTGTAAATAATGTCAAGTCATGTGGCATGTTAGTGCAAAAGTGAATACAGCCATTTTTTTTTTCGCCCTTTTTTTCCAAAGCGGCAATTTCATGATAGATTGAAGGAATAAATGATTTGTTTGGAGAGCTGCTGAATGTCAATGCTTTCCCCTCCCTCTGACAGGGTACCCCAGCTATTCAGGAAGCCTCGCCTCCCCTTTTCTTCCCATGAGTCCCTTGGATCACCATAACAACAGTCTGTACGGACAGCACCGCTTCTATGAAACTCAAAAAGGTATGTTTTGCGGAGCGCAGTGCTGGTAACCGGACTTACTCACTTGACTGCTTGGCTTTACTTTGAAATTGTCTTCTCCCAGATCACTTCTACCTGAGAGGCCTTCCGACTCAGCCCCCTCTGCTCTCCACCAACCTCCCCCCGCTTGCCAGAACCGCTTCCGGCCTCCCGCTCGGCTCCTGCAGCCGAGAGACGGACGGCGGCGGCGGCAAGAGCGCCAGGGACGCGGGCGAGAAAGCGATGACGTCCTTATCGAAGGAGAAAGAAAGATCCAGCAGCAAAGAGCGCCAGCAGCAGGAAAATAAAGACAAACATCAGCTTCATCATCACCCGGCGACTGCCGCCGCTCCATCAAGCTTCCATCATAAAGCCTACCCGCAGCCCTCCCATGCTGCTCCCTTGCTTCACCTCGCTCCACAGAGCAGGGAGGAGGATTCCAGACACCTTCCGGAGCGTCACAAGGAGCACAGAGACGGCGACAGCCAGGGAGGGAAACATACGAGTGCCTGTAAACTTTCCGGTGTTTCTGGTACGGAGGCCGTCTCCAGTGAAAGGGGGAGCACGTTAAGCAGCTGTAGTGGGGGCGGAGCGGGTCGAACCCCTTCTGGAGGCAGTCGGCGTTGCCATAAAGAACCCATCAACGGGGATATGAGGATCAGTGACTCGTCAATCGCTTCCTCGGAATGTATAAGAAGAGGTGCGGCCGCGGCCATCTTGGCCCCTCCGCGCTCCGTGGCCTCCTACTCCATGCCTCCGCCTCCTCCGCCACCCCCAACTCATACCTTGCACATGGGCTCAGCAGTGGTCGGAAGCTGGCTTCACCCGCATCACCATCCCCACCCGGAGTTTTACTGCCCCCCGGCGCCGATGACCATCGTACCCTCCAAAGATCCACTTTCCGCGGGGTCCAGCCGGGAGGCAAAAGTCATCGGCGCGACGTTTGTCCCTTCCGTGGGGCCGCTGGGAAATCTGGCAACCCCCGAGTGTCACGGGGCCGGAAGCGGCGGTAAAAAGGGAGAGGACAAGAACGGCGACGGCTCTCACGAAAGTCCCGCCCATCACCTCGGTCGCCTTAGCGGTTGCCAGAAGAAAGACAAATCCCAAACACATTTGCAGCAGCAGCTGGGATACGGCAAGGCCGACAAACCGCCCGACTGGAGCCCACAAACGCAGCACTTCCAAAAACACAACGCCACTGCGAGCTCTCTGCCCGAGCTGCGATCCTGCAGCCTGGAAACGGCCTCGTCCCTCAGAGACGTGGAGATCGTGGACGACGTTTACCGGCCATCGCATCCGCCGGACGCCCAGGGGACGTACCTTGGGGCCGGACGCTGGTCTGCATCCAAAAGTGGCTCTCCGCCTTTCAGGGACTGCTCTCAATCTGGATCCCAATCTGATGGAAAAGTGGGCTCGGCGGTTCAGAGGGAGGGACAAAAGGTCGCTCGGATACGACACCAGCAGCACAGCAGCCACGGTACCGACGAAAAGGGACGAGATGGCCTGCCGGCAACACCTTGGGGAGCTCGAAAAGGACCGCAGGACGACCCGAGGAAAGACTCCCGTCACGCGTCTGCGAGCAACAGTGAAATACGAGGACTCTGTGCCGCAGCCTCCACCAAAGACAACAACAACCAGTCCACTTCTCTAGCGCAGAACACAGGAGGAGAGGGCAGCGCCATGAAGAATTTAATGAACTACAGCTCCCAGCAGCCTTTGCTGCTGCCCCAGCGGAGCCCCTTTGGAGGCTTGGGCTGCCTCAAGCAGGGTGGGGAGAGATTAGAGAAGGGGGAAAGGGGCGGAGGCAAAAACAGCTCCTTACAAGACCCACCCAAACAGTCGCTCCCTCCCCGCCGAGGTTCCTCGAACGAGGGAGAGAAGGGCGACAAAGGCGGGAGGGAGGCCGGGGAGGCGGGAGAGGGGGGGGTAAGGCAGCCTCCGGTGGGCATCGCCGTCGCGGTGGCCAGGCCCCCCCATCGTTCTCCAGACAACACCCCTGGACTCGGCAGACAGGGCAGAGTGCTGCCCAGCATGAAAGGTCAGACGCGGTCCATGTTTGTTGCATTGAAAGTCAATTAAGGCGATTTTGGGGCTTTGGGCGATGCTATAAGAAATACGAGCTGTTGGTGTATCCTCCGTTTCTTGGTCCGTTTGATGTTAATTGGGGACTCAACAGGCCTGGCCAATTATAACACGGCAGACATTTATTTTTTCCCTCCAAGCGCACCACAATCTCACAATCCAAACTGAGAACAGCTTCTATCCCGAGTTGTCATTTCGCACTATAGATAGAGGGGATGAATGCCTTGTTTTTATTGCATTCACGGGCCTTCTAAAAATTGAAGTCTCTCTTTTAAGTCCCAAGTTTTACAAAGCGTCGTCGATCAATTCAGTTCCCAAGGGGAGTCAAGATGAGCTTTGTTTCCGGAAAGGCGCATTTCATGTCCTTTCCAAGCCCATTGTCGCTCGCGCAGGAATCAATCTGGCTAATCAAACACCAACACACACCCACCCTGATAGGCTGTCAGCATCAAATTAGCACAAGCGCCACCATTTCCAGTCAAAAGAAGGAAAATGAAAACAAAAAGCGTTTGAATGATCTTGTTCATTTCTCTGCGGGGGTTGTTGTCAGCATTTCGCTGCATTCGTCTTGCAGGGGTGTCCCGACCAATGTATCCGCTTGGCCGGGAGGCGGAGGAGAGGAAGAGGATGACGGAGGATCAGCTCAGCCTTCATCACCTGGACAGGGACAGAGAATTGCTGATTAGGTACTTCCACCAAAGTGTGAATGAGCGCTACTCCACGTACACATTGGAGCATCTGTTTTCTCTCCTGGCACTGCTTTCATTCTCTGTCCATGTCTTTTGGTCTGAGCCGCGCCGTCTCTTTACGCCCCCCCCAAACACTCCATTTACTCCGCTCGGCCTTTGATGTCGTATTTCTGTACCACTCCGACACACAAAGGCACACGCGCGCGCACGCAAACACCATCTCCGAGGGGTTCTTTTTCCTCAGAGATGGGCTGCGGTGTCTTAATGTTATGCGGACTCATACAAATGTCTCTGAAGTCTCACACTTTTATTATGTAGCTCCATTATGTTTTTTTTTAACCCCCCCCCCCCCAAAAGTAAGTAGAATTCATAGACCAGATGTCGAAAATGATAGTCGCCACTGCCGCTGTCACTCATCTTTGATGAATCTAATGGTTGTCGTGGTAATGAAGATCACAAGGACGATAACGATCATAATGGTGATTGTGACGACATGAAGAGAGATAATGACGATAATGACCAAAGTTGCTTCTGCCGACTGTTTGGGGGCGGCGGGGGGGGAAAAAAAGGGACAGCAAGGAGCGCATGGAGTTTGCCCGGATCCACCCTTCAAGTAGTTGCCACGGTGACCTGACCTCTCACCTCTTGGTGCCTGGAGGCGCCAGCCAGTTGGGGGCAGACCCCACCGCTCACGCTCACCACCACTGGATGCAGAGAACAGGAAGTCCTTCGCTCTGGATGGGACATTCATATAGTGAGTGCGACGTTTCAAACTTCTCATGGAATACATTTACATTGAGTTATGCAATTCTTTTTAGAATAAGTGTTTTTGTAGTGTTGGGTGTTGGTATGAAAAAAAAATTTATATGGTCTCTAACATTGCAGATTTTAAGCTCGTGCCGGTGTCAATTTTTTTATTTTCTATCCCACAATGATGATGTATTTCACGTAGTTGTTCCCCCCCCCCACACAAAAAATGTCACAGCTCAAACGCTGCACATACTTCAAAACAATTTAGCACACTGCAAAACGATCACTCAATGCTAATAAAGGGTGCAAAAAAAACCCCACCAATTGATTTGGAGAATGCATGCTGAGACCACTTCTTGGCCCTTTTGTTCCAGGTTTGAACCACGTGGGGATGAGTGCCAGTTTCCCCCCAGGTTTACCCAGCCCTCTGCAGCCCGTGCTTGGCTCACTCACCCAAGACCCCAGCTCCCCACTGATGGTCCTTCCGACAGAGCCTGGGCCTCATCATCACCTTGGTACATCCTAACACACACACATGCGCACACACAGATATACAAGTACACATCAAGCTCGCACTGCCGTCCGACCGCCACCTCCCGTCTCCCCTCTTCGCTCCTTTTGCTCCAACGGAACCGCTGCCATTTCTCTCCCAGAGTTTTTAGTATCATTGGCTAATCATAATATAATGCTCAACTAAGTCCCTCTGTCAGTGGGAGCGTGTTTTATAGCTTCGTTAATAGGAGCAGCTATTTCCATTGCCCTCAGCAGCATTATGCAAAGCGTTTTCAACTGACGTTCATCTCGCTCGTGACGGGACTCTGGCTTGTGTGCGTGCGCGCGTTTGTGTGTGTACACATCGAAAGTTGTGCCATCACGTCTGGACCGACGTGCGACGTGACGGGTTCTGTTTTACGTCTCAGCCGTGCTCGAGGAGTACAAAGTGCGCGCGAGTGTGTCTGAATGCTTCTTTGCAAACAGGCTGTGAAATTTAATTATCTCCCGCCTCCCTCGCTCCGCTCCGTGGGAGTTCCTGCAGAGAAGGGAAGTGCATCCACTGAACCCTTCCCCTGGGAAACATTAGCCCACTCAGGCTAATCTCACAGAACAAAGGTTCCCAGTGACAAAGCAGCCAAGGAGGCATGTGTGTGCGAGTGGGCGTGCGTGTTCCGAGGACAGGGCGGGGCCGCGCAGTGGAACGCCCGATTCCCAAAAAATGGCTGGGAAAGGGGGAGGCGGTTGCGGCGGTTTTTGGGGAAGATGGCCACAGCCCACCGTCCACAAAGAGCACCTTTGTGACACACTGGTCTTTGATGCTGCTCCCCGCGCATATGGCACGCTCGCTTCTTCATAAAGCAACTAAGTCGGGCTTTCAAGTCCATCTCAAGGCCCGCCCGCCCGCTTTCTTGTCTGTCTCGCAGACGTTTTGGAGCAATCGGGTCTGTGGCCTCCCGTCTACGGCGCCCGCGGGCCCCCTCCCCACCTGCAGCATCACCCCGTCTACTCCCGCTCCTCATTCCTACGGCAACAGGAGCTCTACGCCCTGCAACAGCAACGGGCCATGGAGCATCTGCAACGCCATTCCTTGGGACAGGTACCGCGCATGTTGTTTTAACTTGACCCCGAATTAGATAATAGTGGTTATAAAATGTCTCCACACTCCAGTTCCCCCTGCCAGGCTTTTGTGATTTTTTTTTTTTTTAATTTATTTCTTTTAAAGATGTGGATAGTAATGAAAGCTGGCGACAAAGTGAAGCATGACAGAGAACTCAACGGGACAGATTTTAACTGTTATTTTTGTGCGTGTTACTTGGTAACAGACAAACGAATGGCTGCTAGGAAACCGTACTTGTTTTTTGTTTACATTCAAATTTGAGCTCTGACAGCCATTCCAAGTGATGTCATATAAGACGTGATCACAGGATTGCAACTTGGGCGTCCCTTCACAGCGGAAACACGACGAGCACGCCTCTCCGTTCGAAGACTCTCCTCCGATATCGAGAGCCTCGTCGTCGTCCTCTTCCACGTCCTCTCATGTGGCCAAACCCTTCTCGCACACGCCTCCGCCGCCAAAGACGTCCGCCCCGTCGCCGGGGCTGTGTCCCAGTAGTCGTCAGTCACCGTGCTACCATTCCCCCTCCAGGCGAACGCACCCGCCCAATCCCCTGACCCCCGCCCCCAGCCCGGCTGCGGCGGCCCCTCGCTCGCCAGCGCTCAGCCCTGCGCCATCGCTCTTACCCAAAGGCCTGGAGAGGACCAGCGACAGAGGAGAGGGGCAGCCACCTCAGGACTACCCGCAATCCCTGGAGCCCGGTGAGTGGGACGGTGAATAATTAATTGGTAAATGCTGAAAGCTTTGGTGAGAAAAAGAATGAAGGCAAAGGGGCGGAGTGCGCGGCTTGCAGATGGAAGTGAATATTTAGCCGTGGGAAATAAGAAGGCGAGAGAACGTCGCGGTTGTTCTGAAAGTCTCTGCAAGGTTAAATGTCGTGTAAATTTGACGCACCACGTCGGAGAGAGCCAAAGGCGCGAGTTCAACTTAA